GCGGTTTATCTTGCCACCGCTTCTGTAACTGGTCGGTTGCATTCGTCTTTGCTGTCTTTTTTAAGTATTTTGCAGTTTCAGCCGGTGTATTGTGCTGTAGTGGCATCTCTACGCCCATTTGAAACTCCATTTTGGATTTGTTGGCTTCTTTCATTACGGAGTAAAGACGCTTACTACTTTCATGTTCCTTGACGCATACCATCATACAGTCTTCTGTAGTTTCCAAATATCTTTGGAGGCCAATTGTTGTAGTTTTGTAGGACAGTTCTAGTTGAACTAATCCTCTGCCTCCTTCGGATCTGGGCACATACAGACGATCAACATCAGCTTTGGGATGATGCATGCGATAGCAAGTGAGAAGCTTTCTCGTTTTGGCGTCCATTCGCTTAATTTCAGCTATGGTCCAGTTAAGGACATTAAAGCTGTATTGCACCACAGGGACAGCCAATGTGTTTATGGCTGATATTCTGTTTTTTGAGTTTAGCTCAGTGTTTAGTACCAGACGTACACGCCTGTAGTACTCTTTCTTATTTTTTTTCCTTCATTTTTTTTCCTTCGCTAATTCCTAGGTACTTATAAGCTTCATCATGTTCCAGTTCCCTCATCTTTGTGACAAAATCTAAATCTATTAAGGGTGTTTCTGTAATTCTACCTTTCTTGAATGTAACTTTTGCACATTTATCTAATCCGAAGTCCATACCTATTCATACCTATTATTATTATTATTATTATTATTATCATCATCATCATTCGATTTCTGCTATGGACACACTACCTACCAAGTCTGCGGAAAGACCTAAGGCAGGTCGTGGTGTGTTGTTATGGCCACATTTCATGTTAATTTTTTTTTTTTTTTTTTATCTCCGATGAAGTTGCTAGCGTTACATAGACAAAGTTCTCCTTAGTGTGTGTGCTGTACTTAATAAGACAATTTTCTGTATGTCTCTTAAGCTGGGGTTTCAGGATTCTTTCAATGTGTTGTTTTGTTCCATTTTTATAATTCCAAGTGCACCTATTACCACTGGTATTATTCTTGTTTTCAATTTCCACATTTTTTTTCTATTTCAATTTCCAGGTCTTTGTATTTTGATAGTTTTTCAAATTCCTTGGTTGCTATATTTACAATCCGCTGGACAAACCCATATCAATTAGTAGGCAAGTTTTTCTTTCTGGTTTTTGACAATGATGTCCGGCCTATTTGCTTCAATTTTTCTGTCTGTGTGGATGGTATAATCCCATAGAATGGTGACATCTTCTATTTCTGTAACCGGCGCTGGCCGATGTTCATACCAGTGTTTGCTTACACATTTTCCAAAGTGTTTGCACATTGTCCAGTGTAAGTATTGCCCCACTCTATCGTGACGATTTTTATATTCATTTGGGGCAAGTATAGAACATCCTGAGATTAGATGGTCTATTGTTTCTTGGTATTTGTCACAGAACCTGCATTTTTGGATCCACATTATTATGTATGATATTTGCCTGAAAATTCCTAGTGAAAAAGACTCTGGTCTTGCGCTGCAAGAATAAAGCCTTCAGTTTCAGACTTTAATCCAGATGCTCGTAACCATCGATGAGTATTAACTTTATCAACATTGGGTTTATTTGCACGTTCTGGATATTGGCCATGCAGAGGTTTGTCTTGCCAGCGTTGTTTCATCTGTTCAAGGGCTTTATCCTTGGCTTTCTTTTTCATATCTTTTGCTGCAATAGTTGGTTCTTGGCAAACTATTATTATTATTATTATTATTATTATTATTATTATTATTATTATTATTATTATTATTATTATTTTATTTCAAAATCGGTGGAGTAATGGATAGCGGGGATTGGATTGAGGAATCGGAGAGCCGAGTTCGAATTCAGTCGAATCCATTACATTCACTTACGTGCTAATACCCTGGGGAATGGTATGAATTCTCTTCTTCTCCCCACAGCTATAGGTATATAGCAAGACAGACCTGGTTCTATAGCCTTGGATGGCAACTGGTCTACCGCTTAAGGAAATGGCCACCTACTGCGCGAAAAAAATATCTGCCTCGTCAGTCATATATCGAAAGATACAAGATCACCTAAGGTCATATCACGCATGACATTTAAATTAATTTCTTTAAAGAAGAAATATAAATATTACAAAGAAACTTTATTGCATTTACACACTAAATGTTCTTTCCCTGGCTTACCTTAAAATAAAATAAACATAATTGCTTTTCAAAATAGTCTTGAATCGCATTAACATTATGTGTGTTCCGGTAACTTAAAGGTTCCATAATTGGAATTATTTCAGAACGGATGAGTTGTATTAGAAAGAGAGATGTCGTTCTCAAAATATCTCATCGCATTGTCATTCGTTGCAAAGCGTGAGAATATAAAATCGGAGAATTTAGTTGAGTTCAATCAATATCGAACTTAATGTACATTCCTTTCAAGTTGAAAACAATTGGATGATTACGTCTCCTAACACGTCTTAACACGCTTATATTAATAACTGAATATTTCA